TGGAGGAAGGGGAAGTATATTTTGCTTACTCCCTGCTAACAGTGGCATAGATCAGTTATATAAACAGTACACTTCATATTTAAGTTGGAGTATAAAATACAGTCTTTGCTAGAATAAAGGCCTGGGATGCTTTGGGTTCCATTTTCTAGTCTGTGACTTTGAGCAAGTCATGTCATCACTACATGCTGCAGCTTCCCCATCTGTATAATCCCTTACCTACTTCACCTGGCTGTCATGAGGCTTTTTGATATCTATCAAGCCTTCTGAGAACCACTGATGAAAGCCTCCACTATGTAAGTACAATGTATTGGGGCCTCTAGACAATACCAAAACCTCAGTGTTGGTCACACCTCAGTATTAAAGCTCCATCTACAAGTAACGTATGAAGTGTTAATAAAAGATTAATGTATGTTTTAAGCCTGTTACATACATTAGTATGTCTCCTAGATGATTTTAAGCCAATCAGTAGAGAGTTTTATAGATGGATATAAGCCATGGCTGTAAGCAACATATTGACTCGGTTAACTATATAACAATTGATTAATTTATTAAAATGCCCATTAACCATTCATTGACCCTTTATAACCTATTTATGATTGGAAACTTAATATAATGTATGCCTTTAATATTAAATATTAATACTGGTCTTTCAAAATGTGGAAACTTTTTGAAACTCTTGTGTTAAGTATTGGAAGGTGACATGAACGTACAGAGCAGTGCATAGTCCACATACTGTTACTGAGTGGAGCATTCACCACATCAGCTGGGAGAAATTTTTTAACCAAAACTTTTTTCAGAGAAAAATACAGATTCGGTGACAACAAAGTTTTTTGCAAATACGTGTCAGTTTTGCCAAATTGTTTTGGGGGCAGTGGGTACCCAAGTCTTTGAAAAAAAAATTTAACACTGTTATTTTTTCGGTTTGAAATGAATTTTCATTTAGACGTTTTCTTGTTTTAAAATAAATAAATATTTTTAAAAGCTCAAAATTGAAACAAAATGTTTTCATTTAAGATTTTTGTTTGGCCCCAAACTAAATTTTTGTTTTGACTTCTTCTTTTGAAAGTCTTAGTTTTGGTCAGACCCAAAACAGTTGTTGTTTTTTTAAATTTTTTGAAGTTGTCTGTGAACCAAAAAAATCTGTTATTCCCCCAGCTCTATTCACTAATGTTTTTGGGCTGATAAAATTACTCTCTTTCTCTCTCCCACCAATGTAGGATGTTGGTTTGGATAAAGCAGCCATGGATATGACTCTCTTCCTGAAGCTACAAAAGCGAGTGAGGGAGCTTGAACAGGAGAGAAAGAAACTACAAACCCAGCTGGAGAAAAAGAAATCCCAGGTAAAAGATGCCCTTTTATTGATTTTATTATTAAATTTCATATCCTAGTTGGCTTTCCTTGAGTGCCTTAGGGCATGCAGTGTGTGATTTAAGATTTGGGTACAATGGCCTTCAGTTAAGAAAGGTCAAATTGATCTTGGAAATGAGGAGAAAAACCTTTCTGGCAGTTAAGGACAATCAGCCAGCAGAACGGTTTTGCCTGATGAGATGGTTTATGACAAAGTCATTAGAAGCATTTGATTTGAGAGTGGCTGCATAGATGGGAAGATATATATGAATAATCCTCTTACAGAAAGCTGTACTGATGACCAAATTATACTTTCCAACCCTAACATGTATAATTCCCAGTCAAGATATTGGATGTTATATAGCAGCTTTCATCATAAAGGACCCCAAAGGGATCTACAGATTTGTAGACGCATACAGAAGCACTGAAATGCAGCCTCTTCTGAGGTAGAGGATGGAGGCCAGGCAGCCACTTCCAGAATGGAGGGCAGCATCCCTGTAGTTTACAGTTGCACAATACTATTTACAGTAGTGAGCAAGGTGAAATTTTTAGCTAACAGCACCTGAGCAACCCCTAGTCTTATGAAAATACTTTTATTGTCCATGCCTAGTTTAAGATATCGTCCAACAGGTACAACCGTACACAGTGAAGCATGTATTCTGTTTATCTGTCTCAGCAGGTAAAGAGATGAATTAACTTTGTCAGCATTGAAACCAGTGGTTCTAAAGATTCAAAGAATTTAGAACACGTATCTGTCTTGTAGACATCATAGGTACTTATATGGCCGTATTATCATAAAAAGAACAGGAGTACTTGTGGCACCTTAGAGACTAACAAATTTATTTGAGCATAAGCTTTCGTGCATCCGAAGAAGTGGGCTGTAGCCCACAGAAGA